ACATTGCTTCAAGAAGGGCATTCGCAGCGTTCTGTGGCGTTGCAGCTGGGTTTTTCCCGGCGAGCGATCCAGAATGCTTGGAATCGATTTCAAGAGACTGGAAGACTAACCAGGAGACGGGGATCTGGAAGAAATTGAGCAACTACCGCACAGGAGGATCGCTACGTGCGCTTGACTGCGCGAAGAGAGCGCTGCATCACTGCCCGCTCCTTACAAAACCGTTTGCGGCAGGCGACGGGTACACGCGTCAGTGATCAAACCATTAGAAATCGGTTACACGAGGACCAGCAGTTCTCCAGGAGACGCGTAGTGCGGATACCATTAACAAGTGCCCATCGTGCAAACCGATTATGGTTCGCAAGGCAGCATCTGGCATGGGATATGAGTGATTGGAGCACAGTACTGTTTACGGATGAATGCAAAGTTAAATTTTTTAGTGATGACCGTCGCATTAGGGTTTGGAGGCGTGAAGGTGAGCGATTTTCGGATGCTTGTATCCATGAAAGTGACAGATTTGGGGGCCCCAATGTTATGGTGTGGGGAGAAATCTCTATATTAGGTAGAACCGAGTTGGTAATTCTCAACGAAGGCACAATTACAGCTCAACGTTATATCGAGGAGGTCATTAGACCCCATGTGGTCTCATATGCACATAGAATCGGAGCAAGATTCCATCTGATGCACGATAATGCTCGCGCTCATACAGCTAGGGCCATCAGAGAAGCCCTAGAGGAGGCTGGTATACAGGTACTGCCCTGGGCTGCAAATAGTCTGGATCTCAATCCCATTGAACACATGTGGGATTTACTGAAACGCAGTGTTCGAAGCACAAACCAATGCACGAAACACATACAACATCCTTAAGAAACAGTGGTACACCTGGTGGAAAGTGTACCTTCCAGGCTTCAAGAGTGCATTAGAAAACGAGGAGGGCATACCAGATATTGAGGAAAGCTACAAATAAACCAACACTATTTGTTTTTTTTTCACTTAATTTTTTACCTCGCTGTTTCCTTTTCAAAAAAATAAACTTTCAGAAAAAGTGGTGTATTTTTTTTTGTTTTCGTCATTATTTTATGCTGTTTACAATAAAGAAGCAATTAATTTATGCAATCTAATCATTAATCAACCCTTTAACCTCAAGAATTCGTGAGATTACTGTAAAAACGTGGTGGCCCTTATTTTGTTTTTACTAGTATATATATATTTATATATCTTGTATGTATATCTATATAATAATATATATGTGTAATTATGTTTGTAACATATGTCGCAATATGTAATGTGTATGACTACTTATAGATATTTTAACTCAGTTGCACTTTGCACCCACAATATCTTCTCTGCTTAGCCTGGAGGGAGACTGGTAGAGAATGCCTTGTTGCATTAAGTCCGCCTTTATGTACTTGGTGTGCAAATAAAGCATAAATAAATAAATAAAGGAAGAATAGATCCTATCACTTGTTTTTATCTTAAAAACTTTTCAAATTTCTTTGGTAGTCGTCTCATTACGGAGGTGGAAATGGGGTATTTTTTTAGGTCTTTAGAAAGTCATATTTATTTTTGTAATAATTTTTTGGAAAAAAATAAATGACAGGGGCATGCTTTCAATAGAACTAGATTTTTATGAACAAAAACGATTATTCTATAGGTATTATCCAGAAAGAGAATATGGAAATACATTTGTATGGCAAAAATGCAGCCCTTCTACGCTCTTACTAGCAATTTCAAAAATGCCTGAATGAGGAGTTATAAACACAAGTTTTCGCAAATACAACGAGAGCCAACGACGGGATAAAGATGAGAAGAGTGATGTCAACAAGAATTCTAAAATCAGCACTATACAAGGTTATACATGAGCAGCAAGCTCGGTTGTGTGTGACAAAAATCAGAGCAGTGTTTGCTTTACTGTGTTCCGCTCTGAAGGGTATAGAGCCCTATTATATATATATATATATATATATATATATATATATATATATATATATATATATATATATAATATATATATACTAGCTTGCTAGGCAGACGTTGTTCTGCCCTTTTCGACGACCCTTTGTCGTGTCCTATTAAAAATCCTTAAATTAGCAAAAAAAATTGTTGGTCCATGAGTGCAAAAAAAAAACTGTCCTATCTCTCAAGTTGGACCAAACTGCACACGGTGTGCAAATTTGATTAAAATCGGTTAAGTAAAAGTAAGTAAAAGTCCATCGTGGACAAACAACGTGACACGTAATTTATATATATTAGGAATAAATATATATATATATATATATATATATATATATATATATATATAATTAGTGAGACAATCCATCTTAATTCTCAGAGGTGATAACGCATCAATAGCTTTCTTTTTGAGTCTTAAGTTAGTTACAGATGTCCACGAACTGCAGTAGCCACTTACCATCACTTGGACTGTAAATTTGTTGATCATAACAGTTTTATAAAAAAAATATACTTTTAGCATTCCAGGAGCCGATAGAAATTTTCTAACAATCTAGACAAGACTAATTGTTAATGAGGGTCAATAATTCTACGCTCACCAGATGTCGCTAGTTGACACTGAGGTGAAGTTATCAGTTACACAACGTCACTTTAATTGAGAACTTGCGTTTAACTTAACCTGATAAATATACAAAAAAAAATGCCTGAGTGGTTGGCTCTTTAATTTTTTTTTGCACATTTTTAACTCTTATTAAATTTTCTCTTTTAGAAATATCTATTTATTTATAATCTAATTAATATAAAATATTACTAATATTTGAGAAAGAAAAATTAACCTTTACACTATCCGAACAAATTAACTTCCCCTGCCATGAAATCCGTAAAGTATTTCCCCTCTTCTCGAAGTTGCGCCGCCCTAGTGGCATAAAAGTCGTGGCTTTGCAACGCTCTTTGTAACAATTCGGATCTCACAATTGTCAATTTCAAAAATTTGTTATTTGCAGGTCAAGATGTAGTTTGTTAACCTTGTACGGTCCAATACCCGAACAAACCTACCCATAGAATACTATAATACACAATAGAATGGCTGTCAACCTTATTTTGTACGAAGAGAGGTATCACCGGGAGCACACATACAAGCAATTACGTCTTATTATCACTACTACAAACCCGATTTGCTGTGTTGATAGACTAAGCGAACTTATACACTTGAAACTTTGATTAATGTTTTTGACACATCCATATTTCTTTCTTTGTTTTTAATATTCACAAAATATAAATAGTTTCGACTTACTGGTTGGTTCTTGGATATGTCTCCTTTATTTAAATTCCATTTCCAGCTGTTCTTTCGACACGTATTTATTGCACAATTTGCCATTTTTAGGGTTCCGTAGTCAACTAGGAATCCTTATAGTTTCGCCATGTCTGTCTGTCCGTCTGTCCGTCCTCGCTTAATCTCTGTTACTGTTGGCACTAGAAAGCTGAAATTTGGTATCAATATGTGTATCAATCACGCCGACAAAGTGGTAAAATAAAAATTGGAAAAAAAATGTTTTATTAGGGTAGCCCCCCTATATGTAAAGTGGGAAGTGATTTTTTTTTTATTTCAACCCTAACGTGTGATATATTGTTGGAAAGGTATTTAAAAATGAATAGGGGTTAACTAAAATCATTTTTTCATAATGACAATAATGTCGAAAATAATCGTTCCAAAAGTAAAAAACAATGTGTCCCCCCCCCTCTCTAACTTTTGAACCATAAGTTAAGTTTAGAAAATATGAAAAAAATCTGAAAAGTATAACTTTATAAGGACTTTCTAGGAAAATCATTTTGAACTTGGATGGAAACAGCAGTACCCACTACCGGGAGCATTCACTCGAGCGCGAACATAATGGATACCCACCTTTGTGACGGACGGGAAACTACGGAACCCTACACTGAGCGTGGCCCGACACGCTCTTGGCCGGTTTTTTAAATAATTTGTGCAGCGACGCTTGACACGAAAATTGGAAACGATTGATTGTGTTGACATTTATACGTGTGAATTGAAATGTTAATAACATGTTAGTGGCTACACGGGCTCCGCCCACTCCCCCGTTCTATTAGGTATGTATTATAGTTTTCTATGAACCTACCTACTAAATAAATATGGAAACGCTGTGCAATATACCCGTAAATGTGCGTGTAGGCAAACGTCAGGCAATAATAATAAAATTTTACGCTTGTTAAAATGGGGGTCGAGGGCAGAAAGCGTTTACCAAGCAGGTATTAAGACGTGATTATGCTCGAATATATCGGAAGGGGGCATGTCCCTCTCAATTATTTCTCAAATATTCATACTTCATACTCCATAAACGACCACTGCTGAAAATAGGCCTCCCCCAAATATTACATTGAGATAAAAAATGGCGTGGTAAGAAAATTCCTCTGACCCCTATAAAATTCATCATTATCAACATCATAACCATCATCATCATTATAGCTCTTCACAAGTCCACCACTAAACTTAGGTTTCTCCCAAGGAATGCCTCAAACACGAGCCTAAGACACTTGCTTTTTATAAGAAATACTAAAATTTGATAATACTGGGAGCGGAGTATTAGCTACTCCCTACGTTATTGCACCACAAAGGCTAAAGCTTTCACTTAAATATTGATTACGTAAATAATAACTCAGACAAAATATAAATTATTTATTTTAACTGTCAACCATAACAACAAAACAATATCAAAACGATCAAATCAAATCTGAAACAATTGTTTGTTCTTGATGCCCATAAAATCCATTCCTTTCGGAATACTGCACTCACACTAACTACAACACTATAGAGTTAATGGACTCTTGGTTCACTTTATACTGTCACAGCCCAAGGAAACTAGTCGTAGCATACACTACGTACATGTTATAAGTGACGCGGAAAAGCTCAACTTATTGTAATATAATACGCACTCATATGCTATTAAAATAATTTGCTTCCAGCAAAATAGTTTTAGGTGCATATATGTGAGTTAGTGCGTGTATATCTTTTTTATTGGTCTAAAGTAGCATGGTGTTCATTTCACGTAGGACGGCACCGGCAGCTTCAGACCCTCCTTGGCCTCAAAGAACGTATAAGATAGCACTATCTCATCCACGTACTCCATTTTCGGATCCTCCGTGAACTCGGGATCTATGTAGAAGAAGACCGGCATGTCCACCTAAAAAGTTAAATATTCATTGGCAATAACAAATAAATTCTTCAAAAGATCATATCAGCGAATAGCGCATCTACCTCTGCTTCTGCTGGCGGTAAATAAAAGTAATAAAAATAGCTTAGGAATAAATGAAACACTTGAAGATAAATGCAGATAATATTTAATTTATCTAGTTTTTTATTTTGTTACATTACAAAAATTACATTGTTTTCCACGCGTTTTGAATACTCTAAAATGCTGAACGCTCATTTGTCAGCACTGTACACAATTCTTTTGTATTGTCAACAAATTTTGCAGGTTTTTCCAAGTTTTAAACGTGGTAGAGCCATGCTGCAGTTATATTGGTAGTATAGCTGTAGCACGAATAGGTCGGCTCGACCGGGGAAGGACCACGCTCTCATAGAATACCAGCGTGAAATAGTAGCCTAATGCTGATGTATTTCGTATGGTGAGTGTAGAGAACCGGAGACCCTTTTTACTGGAAACGAGGCATTCCATCTTAGTCCTCACGGGTGACAACGCATCTGCATTTTTTGTAATCGAGGATACATGTAGATGTCTATGGGCCACAGCAACCACTTACCATCAGGTGGACTGTGTGCTCGTTTGTCACCCTATCCAATAAAAAAACTACTGGTATGAAACGCACAGTGACATTGATCGCTCGGAATCGCTCGGATCGCTATGGAAAAAATTGTTGTAATAACCTGCTTATTGGCAGAGGAAGAAGAAAAAGAAGATTCTAGATTCATAATATTAATTTAAAAAGGCAGTGTATGGAGAATATTATATTTTATTTAAAAGTCACATTAGATAATGATGAACGATTTTTCAGATATTTGCATTTAACATAAACATTTCAAGAATTGCTACATATACAAAAACCTTTTTATACGTGGTAGAGCCATACCGCAGTTATATTAGTAGTATAGTTGTAGCACGAATAAGTCGGCTCGACCGGGGAAGAAGCACACTCTCACAGAATACCAGCGTAAAATAGTAGCTTAATGTGTTTCGTATGGTGAGTGTAGAGAAACGGAGACTCTTTTTACTGGAAACGAGGCATTCCATCTAAATCCTCACGGTTGATAACGCATCTGCATTTGCCAAAGAAACCACTTATCATCAGGTGGACTGTGTGCTCGTTAGTGACAAATAACAGTCCTATAAAAAAAACCATATCTCTCTATGAAAAACTCAAGATTTAGAAGGCCAATTGAACCAGAGGAAATAATTGTTGCATATTTGAGATAAGTATTTTTATTGTATTTAAATAATTTAGGTATCACTAAGTATTCATACTGATAATCGATGCAAATTTTTTTCAAATTATGTAACTACAAATTAATTAAAAGTTTTAAGTCTTGTCTGACGACTCATTGTTGCCTACACAGTAAAAGTAAATACTCATAAAATGAAGTAAAAAATATTTTGAAAGGAAAGTAGAAAACACCAGTTATAGTGGAAAATTCACTAAGTTGGCAACATTAGACAACACTGAGTATAATTATATCAGCACGCACCGAACGCGCCGCATTATGTGGATATGGATATATTATATTGGATACCTACCGCATTTTATAAAATACAGCGTGTACAGTGTGGCTGCAATGTACGAGCTTTCATATGATTTCATACAACGATGTTAAAATGCGGCGCGTACGGTGCGTACGGAAAATGTGCGTTCAAATGTGTACAAATGTGCGTTCAGCTTAAACAATTTTTATGAGTTACTACTAAATTTTCGAGAGTTATATTTTAATATTTAAGTATCCTATACAAAACCTGAAGTACTATTTTCTTTTGAATATTAATTTACATAGTAATAAATAAAAATACGTCCGATATGATATAGGAGAAAAAACAAAAATTGCGTATTGACTATTGATGCCATAATATACAATTTTACGCATTGCTAAGTTTTTAAACTTATCATAGTATCATTATTTTTAAATTGGAATTATGTTTCACAATAAATCAAACAAATACATTTAGTGCATTTGTAATACCCAGATATTTATTTCATTTTGATTGACTAGTAACATACATTTATTTCGATAATAATGTGCCCGTATATAAGTTTAAACAAAAAAAACATAGATGCAGAAATAAATAAAGTTAAAAGTATAACAAGTGGATTTTTCACAGACCTAATGAATGATAATGAAATAGGAAATCTATTAATGGCTGTTTTTACTAAGAAATTAATACAATACCTGTTCACGCGGGTTAAGCATCTGCTCCTCGAAGCAGAAGCACTGGATCTTGTTGAAGTACTGGCCGGCCTCGAACGGGATCACGTTGTACGTGCTGATGCCTATAACCGGCTTGTCGGTCGGGTTGCGCGCAGTGTAGAAAGCTAGCGCTGTCTCTCCGGGGAGCACCTTCGCAAATATAAGCATACAAGCTGTAACACCCTATTTCACCCCCTCAGGAGTTGAATTTTCTAAAATACTTTCTTAGACAATAGAGCCGTTCAAGCTAATTGGGCGTATAGTTGCGCACAGGTGCACTCTCTATTTCCCTCACTCTCATAATCCGATGGGCGGTAAACCGACACGAACGGAGAGAGATCAGGCCCAGGACCAACGGCTTTACGTGCTTTCCGAGGCACGGGGGTGAGACACCGCCAACTTCCCGACTCCGGGCAACTACTGAGAATTTATTGACGGAAAAACTCAATAATTAATTTTTTGGCCCGACCCGGGATTTGAACCCAGGACCTCATGATCAGTAGTCGCACTACTACAACCACTAGACCAACGAGGTAGTTTTTACATACATATTATAGATAGTAAAGACCCCGTTTCGAACAGTGATGGTCGTAAGGATAGGCTAGGGATAGTGCCAGAAAGACCTTATGACTTTCGATAGACGGCGGTATACCCAGAACTGCATGCCTAATATGCACCCCTAGTACCAAGTATTAATAACCGGGGTATCCCAGTTCTTTTGGTAGCTGAACATAACTCGTTCTGTATAGCAGCATCCCGCTTCTCCCGATTATTCAAATAAATTAATTATATCAACATTTCATACATATAGTGTTACTCTTTAATTCTACTTTACATTCTGTTAGATGAATACCATCAAAAACATAAAAGTTGAAATGAGATCCAAGTTCAATATTATGATATATGCCTTGATTGTTGACTTCAACGACAAAAGAAGTGAAATTTATAACATAAGTATTCAAATGATACTTATAATATACATAATGACACTAGATGTATAGTTGTAGCACGAATGGGTCGGCTCGACCGGGCAAGGACCACGCTCACACAGAATACCAACGTGAAATGGTTGCTTAATGCTGCTGTATTTCGTATGGTGAGTGTAGAGAATCGGAAACCTTTTTACTGGAAATGAGGCATTCCATCTTAATCCTCACGGGTGACAACGCATCTGCATTTTGATTCGTAATCGAGGATAGATGTAGATGTCTTTGGGCCACAGCAACCACTTACCATCAGGTGGACTGTGTGCTCGTTTGTCTCCTTATACTATAAAAAAATACTATGTGTATTGGGGTTGAAATAATAACCATTTCATTATAATTTCTATTATTTTGAAATTAAAATTTTCTGAGAATAACTGAGTCTAGATAGGTATAAAAATTTACACAAAAACCTTGGGGAAGCACGCGCCGCTTAGCGGCTTGCTTTGAGTCGGCCATGTCAGTGACCTCATATCGGCCGTAGACTATTATTTATTCTGTGACGTAGATAATATTATGTCGGCACGTGTCGGTAAGTTCAGAAGCAAATAACATTTTTAGAAATTTAATATTTCTTAAGTTATCTTATTAGAAACCTAAAAACCCCATTTAAAGCAACCAAAAAATATTTTCATTATCATAATTACCATGCCTATGTGTACACCTATACGTCCCTGAAACGACCAACAGGGTTTTTGTTACATACTGTATAAATATTTTTAAGAAAACCTATGAATTTCGTTGCAACCTATCCGCAACCTATATAGGTCGGATATCGAGAGACAACCGGACAACAAGACGGCGCTCGCGCTTATGAGCGAGGCCGGCTGCCGCAGCCGCACCCCCGCTCCCACCCCACTGCTCCTGTGTAAAGTTTAGTGTTCCTAATGGCCCGGCCACACTAAGGAGAAATGCCGTTAATTAACGCGTTGATGGACGTTGAATGTAGGTGTAGCCACGAATTAACGCGATAATTTTCAACGGCATTAACAATGCCGTTTCTCGTTTGCCGATAACTCGAGTGGCGGTACATCAAAGGATTAACGCGCGAATTATCGCGTTGAAGCGACCACACTACGTTTGTCTCATTGTGCACGGTGAGTGCCACAGGGTTGCACGTATGGCTGCGATGGAGTGGAGTAATGAAAAAGCTTTTCGATATTGAATTAAATAAAATTACTTCAAAAGTACTTTAATTTACTGTATGAAACATGATATGAAAAAAAAAACCATTTTCGCAGGTCAAAATTCATAGTGTACAGTGGTACGAAACCCTGAGTAGGTACGTGTATCTAATTCGCACTTGACCAGTATTTATGATTGACTTATTAGTTATTACTTCATTAAAATATATTTACGTTTGTCTTATTATTTAGCTTAAACCATTGGACGTCTTTCTAGTGCATTTTGGGTGCGGGAAAACAAAATAAAACATAAATAGATTTACAGTGTACGTTTCCTGTGCATTTGTAGCATCCACCATCTTCTTTTTCTTTGTTTATTTTTTTCTTTGTTTATTTTTTTATTTTAGAGGATAGGGTGACAAACAAGCACACAGTCCACCTGATGGTATGTGGATGCTGTAGCCCACAGACATCTACATCTATCCTCGATTACGAATCAAAATGCAGATGCGTTGTCACCCGTGAGAACTAGGATAGAATGCCTCGTTTGCAGTAAAAAGAGTCTCCGGTTCTCTACACTCACCATACGAAACACAGCAGCATTAAGCTACTATTTTACGCTGGTATTCTGTGAGAGTGTGGTCCTTCCCCGGTCGAAACATTTAACAACGTCAAATTTAACGCCGTTCAACGGCAAATTTAATGCCGTTCAACGGGAAACGACGTTGACCGTTCAAGTATAGCCACTCATTTTATCGCGTTAAAGGAGACAATCATTTTTGGACCCACTAGAAATATTAACGTCGTTTAATGGTATTTACACCAAAAAAAGACACCAAATTATAATAGTAAATGACCTATAGATTTTTCAAAAATGTAAACGGAAACAAGAAAACTGAAAAAAAAATTGTTGTTTTGACATTCGCGTTCTGATCATTGGCTAAGGTAAAGTAATATTTAAAAAATTATTGTCTTAGAGATGTGCCGTGATAACTCGGAAAAAATCGACTCGAGTTGAAATTCAGGTAACTCGATTTTGAGCTCGAGTTACGAAATTCAAATTAGATGAACGAAGCTGTGTCAATTTGTCACAAATTATTTTTATAATTGTTCTTCCATACAACACAATTATTATTACTACACTTAATAGGTAGTTATATATTATTTTTGGTATGCGTATCGACAATCTTCATAAAATAATATCACTCTAACGTTATGACGTAAGTCTTAATGTTATTAATAATTTGACTATCCAAAGTATATATAATCAATTTATATTACACAGGGTGTTAGTGTACTGCCGGGGCTGCGGGCTGTTCGAAAGAGATACCGCGGCTCCGGAACGTAAGGGCACTGAAGGAACACGGATGGTTTTTAGTCAGTAAAAGTCTGACACTCCCTTACGCTCCACCCAGAGCGAAAGACGTCATTAGATGATTTTCCATCCGCAAAAAAAAAAGGGTGTTAGTGTAAACACCGTTGTCCTTGAAACCAGTGGTTTGGTTTCACTTATAGAAAGTAATTTCAATGAAAAATAACAACTTTTTTTTTTAGTCAAATCTCAATTTTTTCTTACAATTATTTCACCCTAGGCAAGTAGGGATATACCTACAGAATTCACAACAAAAAACTCAACATATCGTAGGTAGCGGCAGCGATTCGCGGTCAAGGCCAATATCACTGTGTCAGTGTGTCAGCCCTTCGCTGCGTCGGTGCGGAATGTACGTGTAGTTTTGGTGCGAGTGTATTTAATTTGTAATTATGTCCGACATAAACGTGCAGTGGAAATGTGCCTCTTCGTTCACTGAGAAACCTCTACTACCAACATGACGGTGCCCCTGCACATTTTCAGCTGCAAATCAGGGCTATGCTGGTTGAGGAGTTTCCTGGGCGATGAACCGACCTTACCCCGCTGGACTTTTATCTTTGGGGAGAAGTGAAGCGCCGAGTGTATGCAATTAAGTTCCGTAATACGTCCGAACTCAAAAGGCGAATTCTTAGTGTATTTAGAGAAATGACACTGTTGTGCTTCTAGCTTTTACGATTAATGTAAAAGCTGATCAAAATGGAATTCATTTACGAGGATTTTATTTAATAGGTAAGTGTAAATAACCAATCAATCAGGCTACACATCAAGCTGTACAAATCCTTTGTCTTGGCCTCGCTTTGTATGATCTTTCCGTACCGTTCCAGGGCCGCGGTACGGTATATGGTAAATACGCCAAAAATCCTACCTAATGATTTACTATTTACTATTATTAATGTTTAATTTTCTTTGTTGTTAAATCTAACTTACATTAATTTGGACTCGTCACGCAACACAAAGGGTAGGAATTTTTATCTGTCCTAAGCAAGTGTGAAAGTATGAAGGAAAAGTTTCATGATAGGTTATGTGTACCATTGTTTATATTGAAATGTTGTGTAGGTAGCAAGGGCGGGAGGTGATCTTTACAGTGATTACGTCACTCGACCGCATAGGGTATCCATGAATTTACGGACGGTGTCGGACAGAAACTTTTTTAATTTTATAAAAGAAAATAGCGTTTTTTTTTAAATCGGATAAATATTTTTATATTAAAGCCAACCACCTATGGTTTCAGTGACAACGGTGTTTACACTTACACACTGTATATAACATAAATTGATACAACATTATAAACATATTACCTAATATCAATTTATTTATTACATAATATATCAATAAATTGCTCGAATTAGTAAGTCGGTTTCATCACTAAATTATAGACAAGCACTGCATTGGCCGTAAGATAAAGATCCGATTCGACTAAAGTTTTGTGACTCGAGCCACTCGGGTTAATTTACGAGTATGTATGTATGTCATTCTAGTTATACACTAGTTTTTGAGTAAATCAACTATTTACAGAAAATTTTATCACTAGAGTTAAGAGTAGCGATTACTTTAGTTAAACCATTATTAAATATGTATCTTTATAAATAAGTAATATGTGGCAACATGAAATTAAAACTATAAATCAATATCATAAATCAAACTAAGTTCAGGTTTGTTTACAACATGCCCGAT